AAGTAATAATCTTGCCCAACATCTGTAGTGTCGTGGGAACAATCTTTACCGAACCTAAACTGCTTGCTAACTGAAAGGCTGTGATGACGGAGATCATCTGCGATTGCGGCTACACCAAGTACTGATGACATAAAAACTCAAACAAAATGTATATTTTTAATGTCTTCATGCAATCTATTCTGAGTTATCCACTTTATTCTGGCCCGCGAATTAATAGGATACAATTTTAAACATGTTTTTGAATGCCGCGAATTAAAAGGATACATTTAAAAATTAGCGTTCGAAAATACAATGGGTGCGCGAATTAATAGAGACCGCGAATTAATCGAGTTTTTACGGTAATATTACTTACCTGGCTGTGATTCTTTTTGAACCGTGGTTTCCTTGACAACAGGTACTGTGGATGATGTTTTTTTTTTCACTAGCACTCTCTTTTCAGTGAAGTCTAAAAAACAGAATTTCACAGAATTTTAAGGATAAATAATAGACTTCTTTTCTTTATCACTTTTCAAGTTATTTCATTTAAGTTATTTCAAGCAAGGGAGTAAAAAAACAGTTTCTTACCTGGTTTTACTGATACTTTGGGGTGAGTACTTTCTGTGCTCCTAGGTCGACTGAAAAATATAGCTACAGGCTTGGTCCCATTCTCCAGTACAGTGCCATTTTTCTTAGCATCGGCAGCAGATTTCTAAATAGTTCACAAATATTGAAAGTGAAGAAGAAGTTTTTTGTATACCCCTAACCCTAACTCTAACCCAAACCCCAAGCCACCCAATCCAATTGTAACTTCCCCCTCTGGATAACTATAGGTGTCCTTAGGAGGGGCATATACAATTAAATTGGGGAGGGCTTAAGGGTAAGGTTAGGGTTAGGGGTGTAAAAGGAACTCCAAATCTGAGCTGAAATTATTTTCAGTGTGTAAAAGGTCACACTTAAAAAACACTATTGAAGCAGAAAACTTGGGTAAAATTTCTCTGTATTATAAAATAATTATATGACAATGATACATTTATAACAAGCCATGCATGGTACAGTCCCAGTTAGTTATCGAATTTAAGATATATAGTTTTGTTTATAGTAATATAGCTGGAATATAACATGTCAGGAATATTATTATGATGATTTTTAAACATTTAAATGATTGACATAGTCAGTCAAAGCATGTCAGAGATATGGCTCTAGAAGCCCATTCATTAAAAAACAAGTCATTGTCAATGACACGTCCCCGTTCCATTCATATTTGAGTGACATATACATTCAAAGCAGATCATGACCGAAATGCACCTGCATATGTACAACACATTGTACTGAATCTGAACAAAATCGATCCATGCATGACTGAGATCCGGTTTCGAAATTGTGAAAATACGTGATTTTGATGCATTTTCGGCCTTAAAATGGCCATCATTCAGCTATTGTTAAACAAATGCACATATCTATTTGTGACATGATGCACCATGTGTGTGTGAAGTTTGAACTTGATCAATCCAGACATGTCTTGGATACGGATCCAGAACTGAATTCTTTAAAACAAAATGGCCGCCAGTCCGCCATTTCAAACCCGATCCAAAAAAAAAAATGACGTGCATCAAGGTCCTATTATGTTTAATGTATGTACCAAATTTGAACAAAATTCGTCCATGCATAACTGAGATCTGGGTCCGGAATGGTGAAAATGTGCGATTTTGATGCATTTTCGGCCTTAAAATGGCTATTCGGCTATCGTTAATCGGATCATGAAAAAAAAGCATGTGCATATGTCCCATATAATGTGTGATGTATGAGTGAAGTTTGAACTTAATCGGTCCATGCATGTTCGAGATACAGGTGATCATGGACGCACGGACGCATGGACGCACGGACGCACACAAGGCAAAACATAAGTCCCCGTTTTCGGACTACGTCCGAACGGGGACTAAAAATGGCGACTAATCAACTGTTCTAAATCCAATCCAATCTAAAAAATAAAATAAAGTGCATAAGGAACCCGTACTGTCTAATGTACATGTATGTACCAAGTTTGAACAAAATCCATTCATAAATGCCAGAAATGCTTGATATTCAATAATTTTTTAGCACAAAAATGGCCACCATTCGGCCATTTTTAATAGGATGACATGATGTATAATGAATATTTAAAATTTGAACATAATCAGTCACAGCAAGTAAGATATATGGCACTAGAACCATATTCATTAAAACAAAATGACCGCCAGTTGGCCATTTTGAATCAGATCGTGAATCAAATTGATGAACATATGTATAATATCATGTATGATGTATGTGTGAAGTTTGATTGTGATTGGTCTAGGCATTTCTAAGATACAGGACGCACGCATGCATGCACAGACGGAAGCACAGATGCACAGAGGACAAAACATAAGTCCCCGTTTTCGGACTGCATCCGAACAAGGACTAACAATATCAGTGATATACTTCTTATAGGTTATGTTTTTTGTACTTTTGAAAAACCCATCTGAGAAATATCATATTTGCATTTTCTAATAAGGTAGGAAGCAAAACTACATTTTGATGGCATAGACCTATCACAACAGTCTGGAAATACTGCTTAGAATTCACTTCCATGGTCAATGCAGGTCTGTTACGTTGAAAGGCGGATAAATATAGCATGCTGCCAATCTTAATATGTTATTTTTCCAAATGAAGAACTATCACTGTTCTAATTTTCTCCATGTGCTATACCAACTGATAGTAACCATAGCAACAACAGTGCAACAGCTATCAGCAGCATTTCCAGGCTGCCATTTTGAAACAAATGTCACAATGTCGAAGATGAAATTCAAAAGTCCTCACTTTGGACTACATCTGACAGGGATTATTTATAAAAAAAACTTTTGTCTAACTCTTTTACTTACTAAATCAACAAAGTGAATAACTGCTTCATTATTTTTTGGTGTGCTGTACACTCGCTTCACAGTTCCAAATTTCTTATAAAAGTCATGAAGAAAGTCTTTGTTGTTTAACCTGTAAGGAATACCTTTAATACGAATGACTGTAGAACTTCCAACAGGATCACCTCGAAATTCTCCTGAAAGTATATATGAGAAAATATGGTTAATTATGAACATATATATTAGAGCTACTTTATTTCCATTTGAATTACAAACCAGTATTCTTATTAGAAGTTGGCATTCAATCATTACATAACTGTCACTTATGTACATGTACAAGCAGACAGACACAGACCTGCCAGAAAGTATTTATTGCACCTGTCATTTAATCGTTTTAATTAAAATATCAATTCCAGGTAACATTATGTGTTGTCTTTAAAATACACTAAATTTAAGAACTAGTGCATTTTAGTCAATATAAAATGGTTGATTTGTGTTTAGTTTTTTTGTATGTAGACGTTTTTTTTCAGTGAGCGAAAATCCCCATGGTTAACTCTATGGGAGCACGCTCATTTGCATATCATTTGCATCTCATTAAAACTTTGCGTCATAAAACATGTGCGAGAGTCCGTTCCGTGTCCGTTCTCATGCAAATTTGAACCAATTGGGAAGCTGAAATTATTTCAACACCGCTTCTGGGTGGGAATACCTTCATGAATATTCCTATCGAGGTCATAGTATCAGATACGTAATTTTTATTTAAAAACATTGAGCATGCCGAAAGTTAGGGAATTGTCAGAATTTACC